CAGCACCAGACCCAGCGGCACAAGCTAGTCAGGTCCAACTCACACCCACCTACGCCCACTCATGTATTTATCTAACCTGTTTTTAAAACTACACAACGTTTTAGCCTCAATAACTGTACTCGGGAGTTTGTTCCACTCATCCACAACTCTTTTACCAAACCAGTGCTTTCCTATATCCTTCCTGAATCTGAATTTGTCCAACTTGAAACCATTGCTGCGAGTCCTGTCTTGGCTGGAAATTTTCAGCACGCTATTTACATCCCCTTTATTTATTCCTGTTTTCCATTCATACACCTCGATCATATCCCCCATTATTCTACGCCTTTCGAGAGAGTGCAGATTCAGGGCCTCATAGAGAAGATTTCTGATACATGGGATCATCTTCGTCATCCTCCTCTGTACGTTTTCCGGAGCATTTATATCCATTCTGTAATACAGTGACCAGAACTGAGCAGCATAGTCTAAATGAGGCCTAACCAAGGATATATAGAGTTGAAGAACAACCTGAGGACTTCTATTATTTATACTTCTAGATATGAAGCCAAGAATTCTGTTAGCTTTATTGCGAACACTAATGCACTGTTGTCTTGGTTTTAGATTACTGCTAACCAGAACTCCTGAATCCTTTTCACAATCAGTAGTATTAAGATCTACATTATTTAGTTTATATGTGGCATGGTTATTTTCCAGTCCAACATTTAGAACTTTGCATTTGTCAATAATAAACTGCACCTGCCACTTCTCCGACCATTGCATCAGTCTATTCAAATCATCCTGGAGTGCTCTAGGACGGCCTATTTTGGTGTCATCAGCAAATTTGCTTATGTTGCTATTTATTCCCTCATCTATGTCATTTATGTAAATTGTGAACAACAACGGGCCCAAAACTGGCCCCTGAGGAACACCGCCTGTGGCGAGCCCCCATTCTGATTTCTCCCCATTTATGCAAATTCTCTTCTGCCTATTTGTCAGCCATGCCTCTACCCAGGAAAAAATTTCTCCTCTTATTCCGTGTGCCCTAAGTTTCCTCAATAGCCTCTGGCGTGGAACTCTACCGATAGCCTTACCGAAGTCCATATACACAATATCATATTCATTACCATGATCTACCTCCTCAAACACGTTATTGAAAAATGATAGTAAATTCGTAAGACAGGAACACCCATTTGTAAAACCGTGCTGAATTTCATTAATCAATCTGTGCATATCAAGATGGCTACGAATTCCTTCGGCAATTATTGATTCTATAAATTTTCCCACTATGGAGGTAAGGCTTATTGGTCTAATGTTCGAAGCCAAGGACCTGTCACCTGCCCTGTAAATAGGTATTACATTTGCCATTTTTTACTTATCAGGCACTATGCCAGTTTGTAGTGATATGTTAAAAAGATTAGCCAAAGGTATGCTAAGTTCCTCTTTACATTCCTTTAACACCCTTGCAAACAGTTCATCAGGGCCTTGGGATTTGTTAGGTTTTAGTTTCTCTATTTGTCTGTGGACCATGTCACTAGTTATTGCAATCGTGCATAGTTTATGATCGTCCTGTTCTACATAATCTATTATTTCAGGAATATCGCTAGTATTTTCCTGGGTGAAAACTGAGAGGAAGTAGGTATTGAGAATTTCACACATATCCTTATCACTGTCAGTGATCTGACAAGAATTACTCTTAAGTGGGCCAGTCTTGTCCCTTATCTTACTTCTGTATACTTGAAAGAACACTTTTGGGTTAGTCTTTGAATCCCTTGCGACCTTAGGCTCATAATCACTTTTTGCTTTTCTTATTCCATTCTTCATTTCTCTCTTTAAATTGAATATATTGATTTCTTAACTGCCCATCTCCTCTTTTGATACGCCTATATATGCTTCTCTTTTGACTAATGAGATGTTTCATTTTATTGTTCATCCATTTGGGATCATTTTTGTTAGATCTAATTTCCCTACTCGGAACAAAAGTTGTCTGGCAGCTAGAACTATGCTCTGAAGAACATCATATTGGCAACCAAGATCACCTACCTGACCCATAGTCAGGACATCCCAATTTAGCCCACCCAAGTAATTTTTCAGTCCCATGAAGTCGGCCAAGCGAAAAACGGGGATTGAGATTTGATTGCAGTTATCTGGGTGATTCCATGATATATTGAAACTAAGTGATTTATGATCACTTTCCACAAGCTCATCATTAATCTCAAGATTTTTAAATAATGACTCTTTGTTAGCAAGAACCAAGTCAAGTAGATTGTTTCCTCTAGTTGATTCTGTCACAACCTGTTCTAAAAAGCAATCCTGAACCGTATCAAGAAAGTCACTAGACTCAAGGTTTCCTGTCATATTGCTCCATTCAATTTGTCCAAAGTTAAATTCTCCCATTATCACAACATTTTCATATCTAGTTGCCTTATGAATTTCGTCCCATAACAGCTTACTGCACTCCCTATCAAGGTTTGGGGGCCTATAAATCACACCCAGAATTATTTTGTCACGACACTCGAGAAATTGTAGCCAAACAGATTCTGTGTTCGATGTTTCTAATCTTATATCATTTCTAAGACAACAATTGAAATTTTCTCTTACATACATCGCCACTCCACCACCCTTCCTGTTGTTAGGTAAGACACATATGCAACAGTTAGGTATCTTTATTTCGAAACGTTTCGCCTACACAGTAGGCTTCTTCAGTCGAGTACAGAAGAGTTGATAGAAGCAGAAGATACTTGAAGACGATGTAATCAGTCCATCACCCTTAAAGTTTTGAGGTGGTCAGTCCCTCAGTCTGGAGAAGAGCATTGTTCCATAGTATGAAACAATATGGAGATGAAGTGACAGGATGGAGCCTTATATAGCGCCAGGAGGTGAGACGTAGGTCACTAGAAGAGGTAAGAACGCAGATGTTGGGAGGTCATGTCCCTCTCAAATCCAGCCGTTCTCACTAGCAGAGGTTGTCGAAGTTGATTGCAGGTCTGTACCAAGATACTCTTGTGTTGCAGTGTCTGACAGATTGAACATTAAAATGGTATAAAATACCGACAGGTTGTTGCATATGTGTCTTACCTAACAACCTGTCGGTATTTATATACCATTTTAATGTTCAATCTGTCAGACACTGCAACACAAGGGTATCTTGGTACAGACCTGCAATCAACTTCGACAACCTCTACTTGTGAGAACGGCTGGATTTGAGAGGGACCTGACCTCCCAACATCCGCGTTCTACTAGTGGCCTACGTCTCACCTCCTGGCGCTATATAAGGCTCCATCCTGTCACTTCATCTCCATATTGTTTCATACTATGGAACAATGCTCTTCTCCAGACTGAGGGACTGACCACCTCAAAACTTTAAGGGTGATGGACTGATTACATCGTCTTCAAGTATCTTCTGCTTCTATCAACTTTTCTGTACTCGACTGAAGAAGCCTACTGTGTAGGCGAAACGTTTCGAAATAAAGATACCTAACTGTTGCATATGTGCCTTACCTAACAACCTGTCGGTATTTTATACCATTTTAATGTTCACCACCCTTCCTGTTGACTCTGTCAGTGTGGAGTAGTTTATAACCCTGTATGTTGCATTCACAAGGCATTTCTCTATCCTTCAGGTTGATCCAAGTCTCTGTTATACCAATAATATCTATATTATCTACACTTGCAAGTAATCTTAGCTCACCTATCTTATTTCTTAGACTCCTACTATTTGTATAGTAAACCTTAAGTGAGCTAGTCACTAGTTGCCCTCTGCTATCTCTCTTTGTTTGTTGATCAATTGATTTGCCATTACTAGCAACTTTATTTTGAATATTGTATTTTAAACATATCCCTGAGGTATCCCGGTAATAACCCTAATACTGCAATCTGATTGTTTCCCAAAAACACTCATACCTCTATAATCTATCAGTTTAAATTTCTAGACAAGTCATTAATTACCCTCTCATTCGAATTGGCTAATTCAACCACTCCATCCCCAGAGAGATGAACCCCATCCTTTGCATACATATCACGTTTGCCAGAGAATAGGTCCCAGTTATCAATGAATGGGATTGCAAATTCCTTGCAGTACCTGTCTAGCCAGCAATTTATACCAATTGCCCTAGACATCCATGCATTGCCCACTCCCTTTCTAGGTAAGATGCTACATATGACTGGCATACCTCCCTTAGGCCTAACTACTTCTATGGCTGACCTGTAGTTATCCAGCAGCTCCTGTCTCCTGCCCTTCCCAATGTCATTACCTCCAGCACTAAGGCAGATAATGGGCTTGTTCCCATTACCTGACATAATATTATCCAACCTGCTGACTATGTCACCAACACCAGCTCCTGGAAGGCACACTATTAAAATATTCTTACCTTGATTAGCAGGGGAATCAGTGGTACCTTTAACCTCACTAACCGCTGAAGTGAACTCGTCTTGGAGAACAGAGAATTGATTTACTACCTTCACATCTTCTGTGTTAACTCTCCTAATCTTCCTTCATCCTTAACTGTGAACTACTTGCCACTTAAAGCGGCTGCCACTATCACTGCTAGTGACCATTTCCTCCTTACTAGCTAAATCCTTTTCACACTCACTCACAAACTCATCTAGGTGAAGCTTCAGCCTCCCATTTTCCTCCTGAAGAAGTAGAACCTCCTTCTTCAACACTTGAACCTGAGATTCTAAAACACTACAACAAGCCATGGTGCTTGGTAACACCCCACGCTAACTCCCAGAGCTTAGGACAGGTATGACTGCAGGTGACCACTGACCTCAGCGTACTGGCCACTGACCTCAGTGGTTGCTGGCTGGTTGCTGTCTACCAATCTAGTACCACAAGACAGTAGTATCTCCCTGGTGGTTGCTGTCTACCTACTATCGCAAGTTTTACATATTCGGCACGACATTATATATATATATATATATATATATATATATTTATATATATATATATATATATATATATATATATATATATATATATATATATTTATATACATGGATTTGTTAATTCAAAAATAATATTAAAGACATTTTATCATTCCTTTCATTGTGCTTGTTAATAAAAGTTTAGTTTTGTTTAGGTTACTGCCAGAGAGTGTTAGATGGTTAGTGGCTGAGGGTCGTAATGATGAAGCCAACAACATTATACACAGAGTTGCTAGAGTCAATAATGTTGACCTACCAAGACATCTGACGGACCTTCACGACGTCCAGGTAACTTGCCTATGACGTATTTTTTTTCTCTCAGAAAATAAATAACCTGCACTTATGAGACAGACTATGGCCTAAGTAGGACAGAATATGTCATTAATATCAGTTTCATATGTGCAGATTACTTGTATATTCCTGTTATAATATTGTGCCTCTAGATTCACTATTTATATTGTTTACTTAAACTGATTATGAATCACATCTTGACTTAGAGAATCAGTTTAAATTATGAATCACATCTTGACTTAGAGAATCAGTTTAAATTATGAATCACATCTTGACTTAGAGAATCAGTTTAAATTATGAATCACATCTTGACTTAGAGAATCAGTTTAAATTATGAATCACATCTTGACTTAGAGAATCAGTTTAAATTATGAATCACATCTTGACTTAGAGAATCAGTTTAAATTATGAATCACATCTTGACTTAGAGAATCAGTTTAAATTAATCACTCATTTGTTATTCTTACTGACAGTTTGGTTCTGTTGATGGAACTTTATCAGTAACCAACAGTAACACTGTTGATGGAACTATGTCAGTAACCAACAGTAACACTGTTGATGGAACTTTGTCAGTAACCAACAGTAACGTTGAACTTGTGAATGAAACTAGACAAGAAGCAATGATCAAGAAGACTGTTATTGACCTCTTGAGAACTCCTGTTATGAGGAGAAGATCATTCACCTTGTTTTTCTGTTGGTAAGTTATTGATGATAAGTTATTGGTAAGTTACTGATGATAAGTTATTGGTAAGTTATTGATGATAAGTTTTGGTAAGTTACTGATGATAAGTTATTGGTAAGTTACTGATGATAAGTTATTGGTAAGTTACTGATGATAAGTTATTGGTAAGTTACTGATGATAAGTTATTGGTAAGTTACTGATGATAAGTTATTGGTAAGTTACTGATGATAAGTTATTGGTAAGTTACTGATGATAAGTTATTGGTAAGTTACTGATGATAAGTTATTGGTAAGTTACTGATGATAAGTTATTGGTAAGTTACTGATGATAAGTATTGTAAGTTACTGATGATAAGTTATTGGTAAGTTACTGATGATAAGTTATTGGTAAGTTACTGATGATAAGTTATTGGTAAGTTATGATGATAAGTTATTGGTAAGTTACTGATGATAAGTTATTGGTAAGTTACTGATGATAAGTTATTGGTAAGTTACTGATGATAAGTTATTGGTAAGTTACTGATGATAAGTTATTGGTAAGTTACTGATGATAAGTTATTGGTAAGTTACTGATGATAAGTTATTGGTAAGTTACTGATGATAAGTTATTGGTAAGTTACTGATGAATAAGTTATTGGTAAGTTACTGATGATAAGTTATTGGTAAGTTACTGATGATAAGTTATTGGTAAGTTACTGATGATAAGTTATTGGTAAGTTACTGATGATAAGTTATTGGTAAGTTACTGATGATAAGTTATTGGTAAGTTACTGATGATAAGTTATTGGTAAGTTACTGATGATAAGTTATTGGTAAGTTACTGATGATAAGTTATTGGTAAGTTACTGATGATAAGTTATTGGTAAGTTACTGATGATAAGTTATTGGTAAGTTATTGATGATACTAAGTTTACTCTAATATTTTATATTAGTTTATGGTTCCTAGTAAATAAATAAAATAAACAAAAATATATAAAATAAATAATAAATCATTGTTATTTTAATAAGAAAATATTAATTGTTGATGTGGTATTTATATGACAAACTTAAACAATATAAAAAATAGTAAAATATGGGATAAAGTCAATAATATTATTAAAACATATTACTGTACCACAACATTTATAATGTTATTTCAAGTATCCACATTTATAATGTTGTTTATTACATGCAAAGTTTAGTACATAGTTTTTGATTTATTACTGTAATAAAAGTTTATGAACATAGATAATGATATTATGTACACTACACTTTCTACGCACCCAGCAGAGCTAGGTGTTTTACCGTCATCCGAAGACATATGGTGGCGTGGGTGACTTTGAGCTAATTTCATTCTACTCCCTGTTTGGTGAACTAGCTTCACGAGCAACGTGTGCATATTATTGTAACCATGAACGAGTGGTATTAATCAGTAACAACACTCGACTAGCCGAGGAATCGAACCGCAGAACAGGCGATATATTCACGAACACTAATCTCTGGTCGAAGGAGACTCGAACCTACGAACCACACAGCCACACTGGACAAAATACTTTGGCGCCCAGCCAAACATTTTGATCCAAGGCAGCCAGCATTCAGGCAGGTGGTGTTACCTATTTCATCTCAACCCCTTCATGCATCGACCGACGAGAGATTTTTACAATGTTTAGAATTCGCAAAATTTGCAGGGATGAGATGAAATAGCTAAACCACCCACCTGCCTGAGTCCTGGTTGCCTTGGATCAACACGTCTAGTGATGGCTGGGTGCCAAGGTATTTTGTCCAGTGTGCTTGTATGGTTAAAGCACTGTGTACCTTGTCCACATATATATATATATATATATATATATATATATATATATATATATATATATATATATATATATATATTATATATATTATATATATATATATATATATATATATATATATATATATATATATATATTTTCAACAAGTTGGTTGTCTCCCACCGAGGCAGGGTGACCCAAAAAAGAAAGAAAATCCCCAAAAAGAAAATACTTTCATCATCATTCAACACTTTCACCACACTCACACATTATCACTGTTTTTGCAGAGGTGCTCAGAATACAACAGTTTAGAAGCATATACGTATAGAGATACACAACATATCCCTCCAAACTGCCAATATCCCAAACCCCTCCTTTAAAGTGCAGGCATTGTACTTCCCATTTCCAGGACTCAAGTCCGACTATAAGAAAATAACCGGTTTCCCTGAATCCCTTCACTAAATATTACCCTGCTCACACTCCAACAGATCGTCAGGTCCCAAGTATCATTCGTCTCCATTCACTCCTATCTAACACGCTCATGCACGCTTGTTGAAAGTCCAAGCCCCTCGCCCAGAAAACCTCCTTTACCCCCTCTTTCCAACCCTTTCGAGGACGACCCCTACCCCTCTTTCCTTCCCCTATAGATTTATATGCTTTCCATGTCATTCTACTTTGATCCATTTTTTCTAAATGACCAAACCACCTAAACAACCTCTTCTCCCCTTTGACAAATGCTTTTTTTTTAACTCCACACCTTCTCCAAATTTTCCCACACTCCAAATTTTCTGCATAAATTTACACCACACATTGCCTTAGACGGGGAATCTCCACTGCCTCCAACCGTCCCCTCGCTGCTGCATTTACCCCCCAAGTTCCATCCATATAAGAGTGTTGGTGTCTTATTTTCATCACCCCTTCTTTGCCTCCATAGAAAACGTTTTTTGACCCACATATACCTCAACGCACCACTCACCTTTTTTCCCTCATAAATTCTATATTCCCTCATCCTTATAAATCCCCCCCCGACACGTAAACCCCCAAGTACTGAAAACATTCATTTTCCATACTCCTCCCCCCCAAATTTTGATATCCAATTTTCTTTATCAAAAATTTTTGATACCCTCATCATTTTACTCTTTTCTATGTTCACTTTCAACTTTCTCCCTTTACAACATTCTCAAACTATCCACTAACCTTTGCAATTTTTTTTTTAGAATCCCCCATAAGCACGTATCATCGCAAAAAGAACTGTGTCAATTCCCTTTGAATTTGTTCCCCAAAATTAATCCCCCCCCTCTCCCGAACACCCAGCTTTTTACTTCTTTTAAACCCCCATCTTTTAAATTATTAAAAACCATGGTGGAATTACACATCCCTGTCTAAGCCCTCTTTTCCCGGGAAAAGTATTCTCCCTCTCTTCAAACCCCAAACCGAGCCTCATTCCTCAAAAAATCTTTAAGCATTTAGTAATTCCCCACCTTTTCCCATAAACTTGCAACATCTGCCACATTGCCCTCTATCCCTCTTCATTCCCTTTTTCTAAATCCTAAATGCAATAAAAACTTCCCTACCTTTATCAAAATACTGTTCACATATATGCTTCAATGTAAACACTTGATCTAACATCCCCTACCCTCTCTGAACCCTCCCTGCTCATCCGCAATTCTACATTCGCTTACCTCTAATTCTTTCAATTATAACTCTACCGTTTTTACTTTTCCTGGTATACTCATAACTTATTCCTCTATAATTTTTAAAACTCTTTTGTCCCCTTTCCCCTTTTATAAAGGGGGCTATACACCTCTCCCCAATCCATAGGTACCTTCCCCCTTTCATACATTTATTAAAAACAAGTACCAACCCCTCCAACACATATCCCCCCTGCTTTTAACATTTCTTATGTCCCATCAGTTCCAGCGGCTTTTCCCCCTTTCATTCTACGTAATGCCCCCAGTACCTCCACCACACTTACTTCTGTCTTCTTTACTCCCCAAAAAATGGTTACCCCCCTGCCGTGCATGAAATTCCCCCTCCCTTTTTTTCCTCAAATTTAAAAATTTCTCAAATATTCCGCCTTCCTAATACCTCCCCCTCCCCCTTATAAAACCCCACTCTGTTTTTAACTGAAAAACCATCTTTCCCCAGGCTTTTTAACTTTTTTAATCCCCCAAATTTTTTCTTATTTTCATTTAAAATTTCTTGCATGCCTCTCCCCCTTTTCATATATATTTATATATATATATATATATATATATATATATATAATATATATTTTTTATTTATATATATATTTTATATATATATATATATATATTATTTTTTTTTTTTTATTTCCCACCGGCCCATTCCCACCAAGGCAGGGTGGCCCGAAAAAAAAAAACTTTTCACATCTTCACTCCTCACTGTCTTGCCAGAAGGGTGCTTTACATACGTTTTTAAAAAAGAACATTTTAAAACCCCCCCTTCAGAGTGCAGGACTGTACTTCCCAAAACTCAGGACTCAAGTCCCGGCCCGCCGGTTTCCCTGAATCCCTTCATAAAAGTTACTTTGTCAACTCCCAAAAGCACGTCAAGTATTAAAAACCTTTTGTTCCCCTTCACTCCCATCAAAAAACGTCAAGCAGCCTGCTGGAATCCAAGCCCCCCGCACACAAAAACCTCCTTTACCCCCCCCTCCAACCCTTCCGGGGCCGACCCCTACCCCTTTCCTTCCCTATGATATACTCCGAGTCATTCTTTTGTCCATTCTTCTAAAGGGCCAACCACCTAAAACAACCCTCTCGCCCTCGGGACAAAGTTTTGTAATCCCCACTCCTCCAAATTTCCAAACTCCGAATTTCTGCTTAAATATTACACCACACATTCCCTTAGACAGACATCTCCACTGCCTCCGTTCTCCCCCGCTGCCATACCCCCCAAGCTTCACACCCCTATAAAGAGGGTTTGGGGACTATACTTCATACTTCCCTTCTTTGCCTCCAAGAAAGTTTTTGCTCCCAATCCTAAGGGACCACTCACTTTTTTCCCTCATCAATTCTATGATTAACCTCATCCTTCATAAACCATCCGCCGACACGTCACTCCCAAATATCTGAAAACTTCACCCTTTTCCATACTCTCTCCCCAATTTGATATTCAATTTTTTTTACCCAAAACTTTGTTTTCCTCATAAATTTTTCTTTCCTTTTCACTTTAATTTCTTCTTTTCACACCTCAAAATCATTTCCCCAACCCCTTTTCAAT